TCTTGTAAGTAATTTTCTCAAGCAAATTTCCTCAGGTGATTTTAACACCAACTCATCTGGCTATTGTAATGGAGTATGCATCTGGTGGAGAATTATTCGAGCGAATATGCAATGCAGGACGTTTTAGTGAGGATGAGGTCCTTAACTTTATCTTCCATGTTTTTGCTTCCTTATTTTTTTTTATTTTTTTGGGGCAGTTGTTTTGTTAGTTACAGGGTACTTATCTCTTGTGCACATTTTTGCTGCAGGCTCGTTTCTTTTTTCAACAACTTATATCCGGAGTCAGCTACTGCCATTCAATGGTATCAATTTTACTGAATCATGTTGTTTGAGTTCTACTTATATATTGCAATAGAATTCAGAATGGTGTAAAAATTAAAAACTTAAAATAGAAATATAATTGGTCTTCCTAATTGTTTTGATGAAGCAAATATGTCATCGAGACTTGAAGCTGGAGAACACGTTGTTGGACGGGAGCCCAGCTCCTAGGTTGAAAATATGTGATTTTGGGTATTCCAAGGTAATAATATAAGTGTTAACTGTTTTCATGTTAAAAACATTCTCTAGACACTTTGGCTTTTATTCCTGATTATGGTTATCACTGTGTTTTTATTTTTTAACAGTCTTCTTTGCTGCATTCACAACCAAAATCTACAGTGGGAACTCCTGCTTACATTGCTCCTGAGGTGTTACTGAAGAAAGAATACGATGGAAAGGTAAATCATTCAACAATCTTTTTTTTTTTCTTTTTGACGGACTTACACAGATACAGAAGAGTGTCATTTCTGAAATGATGAATCTGCGCTTAACTCGAGTTTATTTTAATATATATTTTACTTGCATGCAAGCTGTTAATATGCTCGGTTAAGTTTGTATTTGCCTCTTTGAGTTAAAAAGAAAGAAGACAAAATTTGTTTTTGGCTTTCACAAATATATTGGAATGAAATTGCTTCTAACCTCAGTACAGGGGAAAACCTCCTTCATGGACTGCGATTATTTTTCACGTTTCAAATTTTCTTTTATTCAGATTGCAGATGTGTGGTCTTGTGGTGTGACTTTGTATGTTATGCTGGTTGGTGCTTACCCATTTGAAGATCCTGCCGAACCCAAGGACTTCCGGAAGACTATACATAGAATCTTAAATGTTCAGTACTCTGTTCCACACAATATTAATGTATCAGAAGAATGTTGGCATCTGATTTCGAGGATCTTTGATGCGGATCCTGCACAAGTCAGTCATTTTCCTCCTTTCCGCTCTGATTGACATGTGGATTTCTATTTCCTTTTTTTCTTTTCGTCGAGCTTCCAAAAAGTCATTGCTCTAATTCTACTTCTTTCGATAGTGTAAAAGGATAAAACCAGTCACGGTAAAAGTCCTTTTTATTAAAGAGAGACTTAGCTATGTTTGGTAAAATTAGCTGATAAGCTAGCTTATAGCTTAATAAGTGATTTTTGAGCTTATAGCTTGTGACTTATAGTTGAAGAGCTAGATAAAAGTGTTTGGCAAAATTAGTTAGATAAGCTAAGCTAGCTGAAATAAAAATTTCAACAAGCTTATTTGAAAAGTTACCCAAAAAAGCTTATGAGACAAGCTCGAGCTTTTTAAAAAAACTCGTCTTACCAAACAATTTTTTTTTAATACATGAAACTTATAAGCTAACTAAAATAAGCTATAAGATAGTTTATTTGATTACCAAACATAGCGTAATTCTAATTCCTGCTAGACCCATATGGTCCCTTAAAAGTAAATAATAAGATAATAAAATTGAACTTTTTATTAAGTACTAAAAACTTGTAAATTAGCTTAAAAAAGGTTCCAAAAAATTAAGAAAAAACAGGATAAACACTAGAAGAACCAAGAAATGATATAATAAAAAAAAACGAAAACTAAAATTTGCGCTCAC